AGTAGATTTAAACTTTATGTAAAAATCTCAGTTAAATATTCAATAAAGATAGAGACATGGCCTCACCATTAATATTATAAAAAAAAAAAAAAAAACTATATTTTGATTGTTTATTATAAGTTATATAACCAAACTATTAATATAAGAGAAGAACTTTAACTCTAATTTAATGTATCATAATTTTAGATTAAAAAAGTAGAAAAAAATAAAAAAAAGTAAAAATTAATAGAAAAATAAGTTAAACAAAAGACTTAGAAGAGAACATTAGTACTTATTTACAGATAAACCAATTAGCCAAATCTAACATATCTATTTCAATTACTATAAGTTATACAAGAATTAGAAAAAATTAGTAATAAACTTACTGATTTGTTAAACTATGCTATATTAGTATTTTTATTTTTTAATTATTTTTTTATATTCTAAATCTAGCTATTATTTTTTATTTTTATATTTTTTCTACTTAGTATTTTTTGTTTTGTGCTTCTAATTCTTAATACATATTATTTTTAAATATTTGTTTTTAATTTTTTTTACTTTTTTTGATTTTTTTTTTTCTTGTATATTATTTTTTTAAATTTTTTTTTAGCTTATTTAATAATTATTATTTTAAATCAGTATTATTTAGACACAAATTACTAACTCTTTCTGATGATCACTTGTACCAAATTCTCTCTAAACAAAATTGCTCTTTTTACAAATTATTATTAAATAAAATCTATCTTGATTGCCTAAGTAAAATTGTTTCTCATAAACTCTTTCTGCAAATCCATTGCACAAAAATTAACTAAAAAATTCATTTGTTAAAAAAACACTTATAACTATTTATTTTTACTAAGATAATCTGTCTTGTACTTCTAAGTAAACTTGTTTAGCTTACTATTTATATATAGTTTGCAAATATCAAGCTTTTATACTTCAAACTCATTGAGAAAACTGTACTAATTGTCTTTAACCTTCAGTTAATAATTTTTAACCATCTCACAGTTTCTTTTTTTTTTTGATGTTAAGATGACCTCTTTGGTCTTTTGATTTTTATTAATTACTTATTGGTATTGTGGTTTAATAAATTACTACAGAAGAGTATATAGTTGGCTATATATATAATTTTTTTATATTACTTATTTAAGGAGTCCACCTAAAGGTTTCTTATCAATTGTTATATCTAACATCTCTGCTTGAATGTTCTACTTTAAACCCTCTAAACCTGTAACCTGTATTAACTTGCTAGGTCATACCCAGATATCCAGATTATTATCTCAACCTTAGAACTAATTTATCCTTAAAGTAAACTCTCTAGAGCCTTTTGTATTCATTTTTACAGCTAACCTAGATATTGCTATAGTATATCTCTGCTTTTTTTCCTGTCTTTTTACCAAACTTCCAATTCAGATAGCCTATGTAAGACTATAACCAGTTCATCAGTATATCAGGTCAGCCCAATATCCTTTTTTTCTGATTCATTCTAGCAGTCTAGTTGGTGGTATTCCTAAGACTTCTAACCTGAAGGTTCTTATCCATCTAGCTACTGTGACTAGGTACTAGACCTTGGTATTCATTTTTTTGGGCTAGCCTTTATAGTAAAGCTGTCAAAGATCCAGCTACCTCTCTACTTAGGTCTTCCCAAATGAACTTTTTGTTACACAATTTTAATAAATTTATACAGCTACAAGGACTTATCTAGTGTTTGCACTACCTGATTTGTTAGTTTGCATTCTTCTGTATAATGTCATACTTACACAGATGCCTCATAACCTGCCAGTCATGCTGGTGTAGCTGTCATTACAGGTATCCTAACCCAATTATTAGTAACAGTTGCCATAATACAAATATTACATAGGTAATTATTCAAATTTTTACTGTTGATGGGATTTGAATATCCAATCTACCACTTGAAGCAGTATTGTTACTTGGCCACTTGGTCAGCCAATGGCTGTGGCTAATGGCTACAAAAATTTATTAGCCAAATTAGCCAATAGCCAATAATATAAGATAGTAATTTGAGTACTGTGACTAATAGATCCTATGATTAATAAAAATTAAATTCTTATATATTATATTTATTGTATGATTATTTTTACTTTATTGTTATATGACATTATATAATAATTACTTTCAATACTAATTAAACATCATAATTTCATCACTCATATTATTATATTAAATTAATTTATTAAATTTATTAAACCCAATTTAATTAATTGTGTAATTCACATGTTCAAGCTCTATCTTATATTCATAATCACATTCCTAACCAATAATAATACAATATAATTGAAGTTCTTATAATTTTAACAAATTATATTTATTTTCTTGAAATTAAATACACTACAATTAAAATTCTTCTTTTAAAACCTGAGTAATTTCTAGCATAAACTTTAATATTATAATGTATAAAAGGCATCATATATGAAGTTTTATTAGTTTTTATAATAAAAAATAATTAAAAATTTTATTTAAGAATTTAACAATATTTATAAAATGTAAATATTTATTTAATATCAAAAGGTGTATCCAAATTATCAATGAATATTTTACAAATATTCCATTTTGCTTCGATATTTATTGCAGAGTTCATTTGAGTAAATAGATAATCATCGATATCTATATCTAAATTATAATTCAAATCAGCACTTGCATCATCTTGTGCTTTATTTTTTTGATTCAGTAATTTTTCCTACTCAGTAATATAATCATTAAATTTAGCAACATATTCATTTTACCTATTTCATCAACCAATTCTTCTGACATATTATGGTACCTTGCACAGCTGTGAGAGCCAAGCATATGGTAATCGACCCTGTAGAAGACAATTTTGAAAGATCATTTACAACATCTTTAATTCCCTATAATCTTCACACATGTTTTAAAAAATTCCTTCTTTATTACAATTTACCACTTCTCTCTTATGGTCAAACTATTCAGACCAGACCTTAATCCAACATATTGATAAATATAACAACAACAAAACTGTATCTAGTATTACATTCTCTGTTAATTCATCTTATAATGAAACCCACATATACCTTCCTAATGACACTCTTCTATCAGATCATATTATTATTGCTTCATATCTCCTTCCATTATTCTATAAACTTCCCCTCAGATCCAATCCCTCTAGCTCTACTTCTACTTTATCTGATCTCCTTTCTAATAACCATTACCCAACTTCTATTAATTATAACTCTACTTTACACTCTCCTAATTCAAGTTCTCATCATCTTAATCTAACTATTGCTACATATAATGTTAGAGGCTTTAATGATTTAACCAAAAGAGAAGCCTGGCAAGATTACTGTCTTAATAATGACATATCAATTGCCAGTATTACTGAAACAAAAATCTCTGATAAAACTAACCTTTTCTTTTGCAACAACAATTTTTTTACCTACTACTGGTCTAACTCCCCTACTTCTGTAGAAGGAACAGCCATTATGATCCGTAATCATCTTAAACCTCATATTTACAATATTTATACTCATCCAGAAGGAGCCATTGCACTTGACATTTTCTTTCTAAGCAATGTCAAACTTCGCATTATCTCAGTATACCTCTCATCTACCGACATAGCTATTCGCAACCAAACTCAAAACACAGTAATCAACTGGATTCAACAAGCTTCTCAACTCCACCTCCACCCTATTATTCTTGGTGATTTCAATACACAGGATCATACTTATAGCTCCTCTTTTAAATATAAACTTATCAACTTTCTCAACCACTCCAATATGTATGAGATTGGAGCTTATTTTAACAACAAACATTTTACTTGGTCTAACAATACCAGCAGTAGTCGCATTGACTACATCTGGACTGACCAATTTAATATACAATTTCTTCTTTCCTACAGTCTTGACAACAGCCAAACCTCTACCTCAAGTGACCATTCAATTCTTATCTCCACTTGGACATTTCTACATGCCTATAGTAAACCTCTACGAAAACATACTGGAATCAGTCGTCGTATATTCAATTATAAAACAATGACTATGGAAGACTGGAACTTCTTTGCTGATACTTTAACTTAACAACTTTCTCAACACAAAACTCCTATTGAAAGCACTACAGATGAAAATATTGAAACTACTTGGCACAAAATTCAATTCTCTATAATCTATGCAGCTACCCATACAATCCTCAACAAAATCTCTCACAAACGAAGCTATAATTATCAGTATTCATCCCATAGTACCCTACTACATCTCTTTCTTAAAAAACTTGGACAAATTATTAAACTTGTTAAAAAACTAACTCAAACTTCTAACATCTCAAATATCAATCAAA